CCTTAAAGCTACAGCGCATGGTCTCTGCTGCTCTGTCTTGTACACACAGGTTCATATGTTGGCCTTTTGGGTAATGATGTGGCTGCTGAGGCCTTCAAGTGTGACCTGAAAATTGTCCATGTTTTGAGCCTCTAGGTGCTTGGAAATTTCTTGTCTCTTTCTTGCACTTTTATGGGGATCGTTTGTAACCAAGTAGCTGGCGAAAAGTTTTTGGTCTTTGTCACATATTTAATTTGAAGTGAAAGATAATAGGAGATATAGCTCTTCACAGGCCTTACCCTCCAATCTGCACTGTTCTGTGCTGAAACTTTTTCTGAATCTGGTACAGCAGCGAGACTTCTCTGAGCCAGACATTTGTAGCTTGCGGGATTACTTGTCAGCATGATTGAACCTTTTGCCTCAGTGAGAGGCCCAATCCTACCCAGCTGCCTTCGCTGCTCACGGTGCCTGCGAAGACTTGATGACCCTCCCAACCAGGGAACAGAGGCACCTTGAAGCTAACTGCCTTAAATCTCCTTGGGGCAGGATCTCTGTGTTGGGCTGAGCCGAGGTGTTGTGGTTTATATTGGTGCCCAGAGGTAGAGTTGTCTCCTGTAGTGGCAGGCACACCCTCACAGAAGGAACCCTCTTCCCAAAGAGTCCCTCCCGCTCTGACAGCCCAACGCATCACTCTGCCTCATCCAGCAACAGCAACATCACGCTCATTCTGTTGCTGCTGTATGGCCAAATTTGGCAGGACGAGCATGTAAATGTCTCTCTCATCCATTTTTCTCCCCTTGATCAACACCAACATGCTATCTTTCAAAACAAAACCCTTCAGTGGTCTGTAGAAGGCTTGCAAGAGATGAGTTTGTGCAAGTCTGTGTGCTAGGTCACTTCCCTATTACCCCCAAGGTACAGCCATCTGGAGGATTCTCACTTTGCCCCCCCCCCCCCCCCCTCCCATTTGCTGTTGTAACCACAAGTTGAAATAGTGCTAATTTTTACAATGCATATATTTATCTAGTAGATGGTTTTGTCCAAAGCAACATACAAGAAAGGCAAATAGCACATAAGCATACAGCTGTCAAGGAGCCAGCTAGTGTAGAGTGTAGCTTGGCTGGACTTCTAGACCAGTAACAAGTGTTAGCATTGTTCTGAGTGTGTCATCAACACTGCCACCAGGGTGCTGGGCTTAAAGCTAGTTTTGGAGCGAGAGCTATGATATGTACAAACATGGCAAAACCCTAATAAGAGAGTGGTTCAAATCACAGACAGATCAGTGCTTGGCTGATCTGGTTGAGGTGAGCTTGTTTATGTAGCCAGGCTTCCTGGGTGCTCACTACCTTCACGCCTGCTCACCTTCAAACATCAGGCAAAATGGCGGGGGTGGTACACCTGCAGAACGCATTGCTCATAAATGGTGCAACGGCTGGTCGTCTCGCCACGTCGCATCGTGTCGTGACTGCGCCCCTGCCCGTGTCCACGGCGACTGTTTGTTAGATGACTGTTTAGCAGGTGTCCGTCTGGGCCCCCTCCGGCTCTGTAAAACAGGCTCGTGCTAGATTGCAGTTATTTCCCATCTTGAACCTCTCAGACATCTCAGATGTGAAGAACCGTTTGTCAGACTCTAAGCTGCATCCCCAGTCACGCCCAGGGGATTTTTTTTGTCCTCAGTGCTGTCCATGGAAACGCTCATCTTATGATTTTGAAGAAAAGTGTATTAAAATGCCTGTTGTCAGAACTGACATCGTGGTTCAGAATCAGCGTAATAGTAAGGTTACAGTTGTGACCCACACCAGCTTTAGTGGCATCCAAATTGTGAGCTGGCTTACTGAGTGGGATGCAGGGACAGCAGATTTTTAGGTTCCTTGCTGGAGCTAGAGGTGGGCGATAAATCGATTTTATCAATTAATTCGAATTTACAGTTCAGGACGATGTGTTTTTATGAAAATCGATTTTATTACTTATTGTACACGCGAGCGCCAAAAGCGGAACTAATGCCACATACCGTTCTTCACAGGTACCTGAGCGCGGCGCACCCAAACACTGTAGTGGATTCACAAACAACATGGCAATGGTTCGATTTTGCAGCGTTGCACACAAACCAAACAAGTCCTCGTTGCAAAGTCTGTTTAAAAACTGTTGCAACCAAAGGAAGCAGCATGACAAATTTATTCCAGCACCTAAAGCAGAGGCACACAGCGGAGTGGGAGAAGTGCAGCTCCCAGCGGAATAGCCGCAGCACCAGCACAACATCCAAAGTTAAGCAAGCAACCGTCCCTGACACGTTTTCGAACTGTGTGCCATATGATAAGAATGGGGCACGGTGGAAGGCGATAAACGCTGTCGCGATGTATATTGCAAAAGACATGGTGCTCATACATACTGTGGAAAAGCCGGGATTCATTAACATGCTAAACGTTTTTACAAGTTTCTAAAAGTGTTTACAATGGCGTGGTCTGCCATCTCACTTACAAGCATCTTTTTTGGCTTGTCAGATTGCACTCTAAAGTAAAATATAAAAAAAAACCCAAAAAGTTAAAACTTGTGTTGAACCATTTACTGTATTTGTCATATGTAGTTTGATTTTGAGTAGGGGAGGGGAAAATTGATTAAAATCGAAAATCGGATTTATTGTGAAAAAAATCTGAGATTTTATTTTTAGGCCATATCGCCCGCTCTACTTAGTGTTCAGGAATTTGGTATTAAATGAAAGTTTGCAGAGTGACAGCGTCATATGCCTTGATTGTTAAACATGTATACTTCAGGTCACTAAAGAGCCAGGGAATGTACATGAGAGTTTAATAAAGTAATAAATACATGTATATTGGAAGCAATTCATACCTTTAAGTTTCACCCTTGCGTTAGAATATAGACCAGTTGATATTTTGAAGGTGTCTCCTGTAGTAATGCTGCATCATATGTTTTAAATCTATTACACTGAATATTGAAGCTTGACTGTTAAATAAAAAAATATATATATATGCCAAATCACAATCCCAATATCTGTCAGAATTAGATATTCTTCACAGATCGTTCAGCCATAACTTCCACTCACAGACCCAAGCAATGAGGATTTGCACTTTCAATCTGGAGAAATATGAAACAATTTGTGTGGATGGGTGGCAAATCTACCAGCAATGTGAAAGCCGCACTAAGGAATGAGCAGCAACGCAGTCAGAGAAAAACACCCAGCAACAAACCATACTGTCCATGTTTACTAGTGTTACACCCTACAACAAAAATGTTTTTGCATGATTTATTTAAATAAGATATGCATGCAGTACATTCAATTTGCCGTATTTTAAGCCAGTTATGATAATTACGTTATCAACTTATCAGACAATATATGGACATGACCGTGATTTTTTCGACGTCAATATTAGCAAATTGCGTTTACATAAAAATTTATGCCAACAACATTTTAGTCAGTTGCACTGCTTCTGCCTCTCGTCTGCTCTGTGTCACAGGCACGGTTCGGAGCTGATTCATACTTCACGTGAAAGACATGCATGCTGTGGTGCGCACAACTCAGTATAGACCGTGCACGATCCTGAATGCTCATACTTTTAGCGCCAACATGCCAGTCAACCATGTATTTTGACGTTAGGCCTAGGATAGTACTGTAGAGAAAAGCTGCACTTAAAAGTCACATTTATGAAATGCATTATGGATAAGAATAAACAAGAATTTTAGTAAACCTAACCATGCACCATGTACTTACAGTACACAAGGCAGAGTGACTATCATTAACAAAAAAATTCCATAAACTGAAGGATGAATTTCTGATATTACAGACTAGATGCATTCTGAACTGCAAGAGGGGCTCCACACAGTATTATTTACTAGTCAATCTATGTCAGCACAAAGTACCTGAACGAAACAACCACTGTCAAGGAGCATATTCCCATATTTCTGTATACAGCAGTTTCAGAAATAAAGTAAAAATTGTCCACCATCCATCCATCGACCACCTGCATATTCGGTACAGGGGTGCTGGAAGGCCTGGAGCCAATCCCAGGCAGGACAGAACATACAAGAGAAGCAACCTGGATGGGATGCCAGTCCAGCACATACACTTGCATACAAAATCATCTCATAGTAAGAGATTTTATTTTTAGGCCATATCGCCCAGCTCTAGCTGTAGTATACCCCTTTGTGCCTTTAACCTTTGGTCTATCAGTGGTTGCTGTTGGGGGTGAGGGTGTCTGTTTCACTGCACCTGCTTGTTGGTTAAAGCCCCCCCCCCCTCCCGTGCCAGGGTGTGTTACATCCCTCCTATAACAGCATTGGTCTGGAGGCAACTGCAGACACTGTGAGTGAGACAGTGCTGGGTCTCCACAGGGTCCCATGTGCCCGGTCACTGCTCCCGCCCAGACGCCCAACACTACTAACCCTGTGTCAGGCATCTGCTCTGCTTGAGTCAGGATTTCATTGTGGTGATCAGGTTGTTAGGCTTGCCATAGCCATACTGCAATAGGCCGTTAGTGCCTAACCGTGGGATGTTTAATCAGTTAATGGAGTAGCTTGTTTCTTACTCAGCTGGCTCTATAATCCTCCATCTCTTTCACTCTGACTGTCTCATCAGTATTTTGTATTGCCCCGGGTTCTTCCTGCTCTTGCAGCTACGTCACATTCGGAGAGTCGCCTGCTACCCCCTTCTCAGAAAAAGACCAGTGAGAACGTGCTGCGGGCCTTGGTGCCCATCCTTGCCATTCCAGCATAAAGTCCTTCACCTTGGTGGACGTGGCTCGTGCGTTGCACAACATGGAGTTAATGTTTAATCTGGGTCTGCGATGGGTCTCGTTCCTCTGTGACCGTGGATTCCAGGCTGCGCAGTAATCTGCTGGTCACATGCACCAGCTGGTTTAAAGAGGTGTATTTTCAAGCTTGTGGTTTTTTTCAAAGTAATCCAGTAATGAAAATTCTGCAACATGTGAACTCATGTAGAACACATAGTAGTGCTGAGGTCGTGTGAGCCTCTTTGTTGGAATTTTCTGACCGTGTCTCTCTGACAGGGTGAGGACGCACCGCCCAGCCTGGAGTACATTCAGGCAAAGGACCTGTTCCCCCAGAAGGAGCTGGTGAAGGAAGATGAAAGTCTGCAGGTAGGTCCCCACCTAGCTTCTCCTATTGACCCCCCCCCCCGAGCCCTCCCTGCATGATGGCAGCTTCTCCACTAGGGGGGGGTGGTTCCTGTAGTTTTATGGGGTCACTGCCCCCTTTTGTCTCTCCTGTCTGCATAACGAGGCCAGTCCTTATTTTCCGATGACGTTTCCTTCATGACACACCAGTAGATGCATTTTTCTGGCTGTTTGCTGATATCCCAGTTTGCCCCCAAATAATGCCTGCAAGATGTGATGAGAGGGAGTGTCTCCACAGCATGGACTGACCTTGGGCTTGTGAATGATTCCAGGAAAGGTTAATGGTGATTTGGAGAAGGTGTGACTTCATAGGGCAGTTTAGCTTAAGGTTTAGCATAGCTTCATGAAAATTCCCCATTACAGCCCCCTCTCAGGGAGCATTTGGGTGGGGAGGCTGCATCTATGTTCCATTTACATTTTGTATAAGGCTTCTTCAGCAAGTAGCGTCTGATGCCTTTTTTTAATATATATGTAGGACAGACCGCCCAGCCCCCTCTCTCTCTCTCTCTCTCTCTCTCTCTCTCTCTCTCTCTCTCTCTCT